TCAAACTCAGGACATTGCACTTTTGAGGCAGGCAGAAGAACCACTGAGCTAAATCCCCGGCCCAACCTCAAGTTTTAATACTCCTGACAGCCTGAAGTGGGGATGCCAAACACAGTCTCTTATTCTAAACCACAGTTGGGCCAGTAACACTAGGCACTTTGTAAACCAAGCAATGTCTAGTACCCTGCAGTTACAGAAACTTTTGGCACATGCTTTCGGTCAGAGCCATCTCCAGGGCTCTTAGGGTCTGGTCCCAGCCCTGAAGCCCATTTTTCCTTTTGAAACACAGCATGGCCAGCTATTCCACAGCATAGGATCACAGCCACTGACAAGGGAGAGTTTCTTCAGCTTTTAATGCTCTGTCACAAAAGCTTGAGAAATCTTGACAAGTACTGTGAAGAAACACAGACTACATTTGCAGAAAGAGGATGCAGAGGAATTTCTTAATGCACACCTAATTGTGTCTATTTTTTATCAAGAAACTGGGTGCATTTTGGAATCACAAGGGCAAGGGGCACCGTGCCACAATGAAAAAATAATGTTGAGCTAATTTAACCATAGGCAAGGCCATTGCAAGAAAATATTCCTGTGACTTCATTCACTTACCATGTGTGTTTTTAAGCTGTGGACAGTCTGCCAGCTACTCTGAGTCAGACCTGTCTTACAGCAGAGTTCTATCCCAGGGGGAAACACTTAAAAAGCCAGGGAGATGCCATGTTTTGACATGAGACAGCGGTGTGTGAAAGGCAAAGGGGAAAAGAGGAAATGGGTGCGGGTCCTCAATTCATCTGAGAGGCCAAAGGAATAATGAGAAATGGGAACAATTCTTTGCATAGATGTCAAGGAAATAATTCCATTGGCAAACATTCATTTATTTGTTTGGAAGACTGTTTTCTAGAATGGGAGCATTATATATGGTAAACCACTTAGCAACTAATCCAGGAACTTCTTTTAATACTACATATTAACATGGCTTCTCTCCTGCTCTAAAACACAATTGAAAAAGTGACTAGCACCTTTAGGAAATCAGAGCAATTAAATATGGCCATTTGAGGTAACTGATCATTTTTAATAAATTAAAGGATAAATGAAAATAAACTCACAGGATTTCATGTTAGTTTATTGAGCAGATGTCAGCGATTTGGGACTGATGATATGGGCTGAAAACACAGGTGTTACTAAAGAAACTGATTCGAGTGTCATTGGTCAATAAAGTGTCTCAAGATGCTTTCCAGAAATGGAGCTTGGACACAGTATTATTTCCCACCACCCTCATAATTACACTGAAAGCAAGCCTTGTTCTCCACCTCACTGTGCATTAAGCCCAGTCTTCCCACTGAGTGATACCCCAGCCCCTTGTGTTGTCTTCTGTTGTGAAACTGGGTCTCGCTAAGTGGCTAAGTTACCATGCTGGGCTTGAACGTCCACTTGCCTTGCCTCATCCACCGAGAGTGCTGGGATTACAGGCTTGCAGCAACACACCGGGCTACAGCAGACATTCTCAACCGAGAAGACCATAGGCTCTGGAAGAAAATTCCATGAATGGGGCCATGGGTCTGCCAGACCCTTGACCTGATACGGAAGACAATATAGAGAGCTCGTACTTTTAATCAGCTTCTCCACGTGCTTCAGAGTTCATAAAAGGGTTATTGCCATGGGCACACTGCAGGTATACAGGAGTGCATTTTTAAGCATCAGGGCGAGTACCTACTACTGTATCACTGGAACACAATGACGCACAAGGACATACTGAGGCAATTAGATGTTTGTCTGATCAGAGCCACAGTGACTCTGCATTAGCACCTTGAGCAGTAATAGCAGTGGTCAACAACAGATTACAGGTAGTCACGTTCACTGAGAACACACAAACCCCTTTCTAGCCTAAGAGTTTATTTCTGGACATTCTTCAACAAATTGCTTTCTTAAACTTTTGCTACTTAGTTACAACTTAAAGCCTAATTACAGGTCTCAATGGCTGGCTGACATAGTAAAAGTGTAGTCATTACTTTGTACAGCTGTACTGTCTAGCACAGAACATAACCCATGGGAGGTTCTCCATCAATGACACAATGTGATTCTCAAGTGTCACAGGATGAGGAATTTTCTTACTTGCTTTACAAAAACATGGAGGCTCACAAAAAAAGGAGAGTCCTTTCCCAAGCAAAGGCACTGTGCCCTAGGATTACCAGAATACATAAAGATAGCTCTGTAAGACTTCAGGGTTTATAAAGTTAAGATTTCGGGGTTGTTTTCTTGGTAAATAAATCTGACAATTCTTGCTTCATAACTTTCTAAGTCAGTTCCAACACTGAAGATTCTATGTAGGTCAACATCTATGTAAATTCAGGTAAGTCACTTTGCCTCATTAAGTCTGTTTTGTTGTTTTGCTTTGTTTTTACCAGCGGATGAGGGTGTCAAACAAGATGATAGTTCCATGGCACCATTTGGTTACAAAAATTATATAACTATCTTTTAAAAGTTTGTTAACAAAATTTCCAAAAATTAAAATTATGGCACCCAAGCAAATAAAATTGTATGAATCTCCAGTCAGAAGTTTGTTAAAGTAAAATTTGCAAAAAGGTAAAACTAGTTCCTGTGAAAATATTAAATATTAGTCAAATATTTTATTCAAATTATAGATAAAACAGTACAACAGTAATTCCATTTAAAAGAAAACTTGTTAATGTCCAATAGCGTAGTAAGTTGTAAATATTTAGAATTACTGTATTCTCTTCCACCAGAAAGAAGTTATATATACCTCTGGATCAAAAACCTACAAGTTAATCTATCCCACAGCAGCGTTAAACATCCCATTTTACAGAAAATCAAGCCCAGAATTACACTGAATCTTCAAGACTCTCTTGTGGCTACTTCCAAGTTTCAGATAATTTTTCTGATAAGCCAAATTATGTCTCATAAATGAAAGTTCTTGACTCTTGGTTATATTATTTAACTTTTAGAAAAAGTATCATTTTTATTTGACTCATGTACAGTTGCTATATCTTTCTCAGATGAACACTCTAAATATGTCTTTCATTCTATGCTGAGATAAATATTAGGATTTGGTAAGAGTATATAAATGAATCAACACCCAGGTATTTTATTCATTAAATATAATGTAATGCATATTTAAAATACAGTAAAATGAACAGGCTGTTGCACAAGCCCAGAAATTATAAATATTTTAAGATACGTCTAATACATTTTATATTTTAATAATCTCCCTAGGTCACTAATAAACTTAATAAATATGAATGTTATGAAGAAAACTTTATAAACGTAATTGGTGAACCTCATACCAAGCAAAGGAATTGAATTCAAAATTGAATCTTCTCTTAAAATTTATATCCTTTAACTAATTTATACATCATCCTCATAATACAATGTTAAATGCAAACCAGGAAAAGAATAATGATTGTAATGATGGTAGCAAATACATGCACACACACAAACACAATCAAATAAAAGTCTTGACTAATCGTTTCCTTTCTCATGGATAAAAGTAACAACCATTGTAAGCTTTTGAGAAATAACACATCTACAAAACAGTGTACATATTTAATTTTAATGTTTTATTGTAGGTTTTTAAGATGTTTTCATTTTTGTATCAACAGCTTAAGAAAATAATTCACAAGAATAAGTTTTTGAATCTCCAAGATAAATTATTCTATTTTAAATTTGTTATAATGGTATAAACCACATAATATGTCTATGTAAGCCAAATCAGAGCAAAATCTGAATATATCTGAAATGTATAAAGTATTACTGTTTCAATTAGAAAAGAGTATTACCTATTGCAATTAAAAGTTTGGCCTCTGGCTATCCATTATTCAAAAATAATATACCAAGAATTATTTACTGATATCAAAACAAGTACATTGTTCAGTGGCAAATGTAACAAAAATAAACATGTGTTCCCAGGTCTTTCATTTAGTATTAAGTATGCTAGAATAACTGCAGGCCAATACATTCAGACCCACGGACTAAGCACCAGGCTGGCCAGAAGCAGTATAGTTTGACCACACTAAAGCTGGCTTCTAAGAGGCTTAGCCTTCCCCTCATCAGTATCATAAACTTGAGTTCAGACAGTAAACTCGGTGAAAGGTATATTAAAATGGAAATATGTCATCTTGGTAAAACAAGGAATAAAGGCAACTTGCCAAAAAGTTATTGCAAGTCAGTGCCTCAGTCAAAGTAGAAGCTGGGCCCCAAGTCTTTTTAATTTTTCATTGAGAAGATAATTGGAGAAAAGATATTCAGAGACGAGGTAAAAGTGTGGACTCTAGAGAGTTAACAAGCAGTATGTATTTGGGGGAGCAGATGGAAGCACTTGGGCACAAAAGGAAATATCAGAGAATGGCCCAAAGATCTATTTGCAGTGGCCATGGGCAGCAAATACAGGTGCTCAATGTAGTAATTGAATGTGAGTCTAGAAAAGGCACAGTGAGGTGGTCACATCACCCCTCTCTCCTTGGTCCACCTTGTCTCGTACATAGCAAGTTAACAACCGGCTGTAAACGTTGGTGCAAATTAGCATGTGTACATACGTTCTTTCAAGATCTAGCCTGTGTGGCAAGGTCTTTAGTCCTGTTCACACTGACATCGACTCACCCTTCATCAAAGCAGACGGAATATGCTCGCTTTGGCAACACCACAGACTGAGAAAAGAGGTGGCGTATTACAAATATTCATAATTTATATTCTTAAACTTTCAGGGGAAAAAAAGTCAGCTCTTAAACAAGGGATAGGATGGATGGTGGTGAGACGGAAATGATTTATTCCAAATTTGGAACCTCTGTGTGAAAACCCAAGCGACACAATGATCTTAGATTTTTCCCTGGGGATACAAAGGTCCAACAAATGAACATTATATCAAAGTACTTCCAATATAATTTACAAGTTAGTACAAGAATTTTAAGGAGAACTATTTGAGGCTTAATATTGTCTGAATTCACTGGTTTAGTTTTAGTCATGGGCCCTCATTGAAAAGAACTGATCAATTAAGTTTTAATTTATTTTATTTGTACCTCTCATATGGGAATAAGCTGGAAAATACATTTAAACACATTCAATATGTGGACATATTGTCATATATGGGCAATATCAACTAAATCAGACTATAATTGCATAAAACAAATCCACTATTACTAAAATATACAGAAATTATAGTATATCTTGTGGAAAATAAAATTTTTAAAGCATCCATAAAAGACACTCTGTATGTTCATTTTCAAACAGGTAAATTCTTACCTTAGAATTGTTTTATTTCTAAACTGTTAGAGAAAAATTGGATCAAAATAGAGAGAAAAAGGCTAACAAATATATAAATTGTTAAACACAGATGTTTTTATACTGACAAGATACATTTCTAAAAAGGAGTGGGATATAAGGATCTTACTCCTCAGAGATGGATGATGATTTATAGACACTTCAGAAATTACACTGCTGATTTTGAAATTAATGCACCATTTTTACTCAGGAAGTATTACAGGTGCTGGCAGTTTTGCAGACACTGTTTCTGAATTTTCCAGTGCAGACTCACCCTGGGGGGTGTTTTAACAACACCAGCAACAGAGGAACATCATAACCCACTCCCATTAGAGTCGGTCACATCAATCCAAAAGGTATAAGATGTGGCTTATTGCAGGAGTCAGTACCTGTGGTTTATACTGCTCTAGTAAACGACAAACACTATTAAAAGTCAGTTGAATGATTAGAACTATTCTACAATCAGATGCTGAGACACATCGTGATATTAGAGAAAAATACAAATACATTTTTGAGCAGCATGTTTTTATAAACCTCTGTGTCTGCATACAGTGCTGAAATCATCACATCTACATGGTGAAAGACATGTGTCTCACGCATTCGTCTGCACTGCCTCATGTATAGGAGGATGTGAGGTTGATGCACCTGATTTTAAAATAAAAACAAAAATGCCTAAATGCCTCTCGCACTCCAGCCTTTGTCACTCATTCATGGGTAGCACTTCGATCCCGTGTGCAGTGATGTAGGTGATCAGGATTCTGGCCCTCTGCTCTATGACATCGATAAGCTTTTCAATTCCTTGTCTCCCTCCCTGACTTTCCCAGTAAACCTTATCAAGGAACAAAGACTGGAGGAGTTTCTGCCGTAAGTGCTGGCTCTTCAAAACAGAAACTGCAGATTCGGGAAACCTGAAAAGACAAAGAGATATTTCATTCTTAGTAACTGGTTGGAAATATCATTCCTTCCTCAATTGCTCTGTCCTTCATTAATCTGGCATAAATCATGCCATCAAATGATACCTTGAGAACCAAAATGTGTTTGCCACTGCCAAGTTAACACTTCTCTTAATAATAATATACTAGAAGCATGTGTTTTTAAAAAACTGAATTTTTCAACCACTCAGAACTTGACATACTAACATTTTGTTTAAAATCATTATATGCAGGCAAAGAGAGGCATGAAAATTAGCATTCTACTAGATCAGCAAGAATATTCCCTCAGCCTTGAGCTCTGTTTCATTCACTGGAAGTCCTTTAGTCTATGTCCTAGACTAGTAAGTGTCAAGGTAGAGTTTGAAGAGTAAAAAGCTGACAGTTTCAGTGGAGTACTTTCCCCAATAGGAGTTAGACAGCTGAGTTTGAATTACTACGTAATGCCAAATGTATTTCATAAAATGATAAAGGAATCACTCAAAAAAGCCCAACTAGAGAAAGAAGTGCCTTTGACTAAGTTATAGTTCTAGAATTCTGATGATTTAGGAGCATTTTATTTAAGCAGAGTATCAGAATGAGCTATAGTGGGTCTGGAGAGTTCCCCAAAGTCCTATGTGTTTAAGGCTGGTGGAACCTTGAAAGGCGGGGCCTATTGGATCCAGGTCTTCGGAGGTGCACTGGGGTGTTCTCCTTAGGGAACAGTGACATCCAAGCCCTTCTCCTGCAGTCTCTGAACTCCTCCTCACTGTCCTCCTGCCACGCTGTGCCTTGTGACCACAGCCCTGAAGAAATGAATCCAGCTGGGCAAGGACCGAGACTTCCAGAGCTGGGAGCCTTTCCTCTTTCTACGTTTATCATCTCAGGAATTTGTCACAGTAAGGGAAAGGTGACTAATACAAACTGTTTTCAAATAAATTTAACAAAATTCAAGTTTGAGAACTAGGGCACTCCATAAAGGACATCTGTCTAGAAAACCTACAAAACTTTTAGAAAAACTCTTCCTGAATACTTTCAAAGAGTACATTGTACTTTCTTCCCTTCAGTTAGAAAGTATGAAGATAGTGGCCTAGGATATGCATTATCTGAAGAACTTAGCAGAGTTTCTGGCTCAAAAGCATAATATTTTACTAAACCCCCACCCAGGTGATCTCTCCCTGTTTTCACTAAAATGCTGAGGGAAGCACTGTAAAACTAGTGGGTTTAATAGTCATTTTCAAACAAACTCAACCATGCCTCTTAACCACAGCAAGAATATACTCTTGCTTACAGAGTGGGCTTTGCCAAAATCTCAGGCCTTTCAGCAACAATTTCTAAATCCTGATGGGTCACAGTGGAGGCAGCATGGGAGAAGCACAGATGGGAGGGCTCAGGGGCTCTAGCACCAAGACACACAGCCACAGAGCTGGGGCTGCCTGAGGGGTCTGAGAAGTGCCGAAGTAACTGCTTATAAGGTGCTCTGAGCTCTCTGCGGATGCATGCTCCATAACCTCATACCCAGTAGGATTAAGCAGCATTTCGCTCCATAATGTATTAATAACCCATGATTCATAAATTCTATAGCCCTCCAACTAATTTAGCTGCAGCAGAACGTATGAGATGAAACTGTTAAAACCATTAGTCTTTTCAGTAACTAATCCTTTTATATAAAGGAAGACAAAAATATTACTAGTGTTTGCACTAAACTGGTTAATAAGAATACTCAAAGCATAAATCTGGGATTAGCAAAGTCTTCACTTTTACTTTTCAATGTGAATTATATACTCAAAGGAGATTTAATTTTAAACCCATTACTCCTTATAATGTACTTAAAAGTGAAATCTTCTTTGAAAGGATAAGAATACTCATATTTATATGACTGTCTGCAATGGATGGACTGTTTTTTCCAGGCTCTCTCAATTCTATGAGGAAATTTCAGGCCCTTATAATAGCAACACAGTAACTGATGTCTCAGGAATGTAAATTTCTCTATGCACAAAATTTCCTCAACTTAGACACACAAAGGAGAGAATCTGTCACCCATTCTGCCTTCAATCTACACAGGCATGTGGATCAGACAGGGCAGGACATGGCAGAAACTCATAAAATTGCGATTCACAATCCCACAGGAATAATATTGCTTCTAATGTTTAAAGCACATAAAATCCATCTTACTTAAGTCATAGAGTTTAGGAATAAACATTGAAATATGGGGCTGGGGATTTAGCTCAGTGGTTTCGCTGCCTGTTGTGCAAGCGCAAGGAGCCGAGTTCAATCTCCGGTACCAAAAAAAAAAAAAAAAAAGAAATATGCTTCAGAGTGAAATTAACAAGAGCTTTGGGGGTTTTGTTTTGCAATACTGGGAATCAAACTCATGGCCTTGTATATCCTGCATTCCCCACCTTATTAAGAGAAGCAATAGTAACCAAGCATCAGTGTCACAAGTTTTTACAAGAAAAAATACCAGTGTTGGATTTGGAAGACCTGGACCCTAAAAGTATTTATTGTACTGTACTGTACTGTAGTGTACTGTAGTGTACTATAGTGCACTGTACTGTAGTGTACTGTACTGTACTGTGCTGTACTGTAGTATGCCGTACTGTAGTGTACTATACTGTAGTGTACTGTGCTGTAATGCAGTGTGCTATACTGTAGTGTACTGAAGTGTACTGTAGTGTACTATACTGCAGTGTACTGCAGTGTACTGTACTGCAGTGTACTGTATTGTAATGTACTGTACTATAGTGTATTTTTTTGAGGTGACGCTAGACTGACCTACAAGCCATGAATCTCTCGCCTCGGCCTCCTAAGTAGTTCAGGTTACAGGCAGGCAGCACCACACCAAGTTTAACCTCAATATTAGGCTTGTTGTTACACTTTCCCACAGTCATTTGGCTTCTGCAGAGCTGGTTTGGTATTTCACTGTGCACCCCTGTATTTTAAGTCTCCAGCTGCCCCAGTTTCTTAGTAAATTCATTTTTGAGCAAGGAAGGATGCATGTGTAGGGATGCCCCACTCACTATATGGTGAGATTTGAAAGCTAGCCATCATTTCCATCACTGGTGTGAAACACTTCAGACTTTATAGGTGGTTTCTGCCACTACTGAGTGTCTCAATTACCTTTATTTCCAAAAAATGTAAGATCACGTGTGCCATGTGCAAATGCTGTGCTTTAACTTCTGCAACCCAGAACTCTCTAGTTCCACCCCCAGCCCCTTTCTACACTGTATTGACTTTAACTACTGCAGAGACACCAAAATGTCTGAGTTCGCCCCTGAATTCTTGATCAATGCTGTATATAGCAATAACTCCTTCCTACCTAGCCTCCACCAGCTCCCCTTCCTAGGTGCTGGATGCCTTCCCACCTCCTCTGTGTCTACTGGAAGGATGTCCCTGCACTCAAAATCCATGCTTCTTTACTTAAACAGCAAACCATACCTTGATACTGTGACTACTCAACAGATTGGCTTTCATTTTTCATGACATTCATGAACGTCACTCAAGTTTAAATAGGAATTTAGATATTATGCCATGTCACTGTCTCCACCATGTTCTCTCCTGTGGCCTAATAACAGAATCTCTGGTACTCACTTCTCCTTGCTCCACCAGTTCTGGTTCCCAAGATCCCTGTATTTTTCCAACCTAACCTGTGTGAATTTCCACCAAGAGAGCCAAGCCACACAATGAATGTGAAACAGGGCATGGGCTTCTGTGCATAGCACGGGTTGTCACTCAATGCTCCGGTATATTTGACTTCTCTGGATCTCCACTCTCAGATTCACATTCAGAATTCTTTTCAAGGGTTAAACCAATCAGACCTAGAGTGGTGTGAGTTTTCTCAGAATCCTACTACCTCTTTAACATAAATGCAATTATCCAGAAGATGTTACTCCTTCATACCACTTACTCTTTGATGCCTTCTAACAATTTGAAGTTTAAGTTGTCTTCACTCCTGTCAAAAAAACCCTCATTGTCTATAAAGACCAAATGCCTCGGGTCATGCTTCCGCTGGATAATGTGTGCCAGACTTGCAGAATTTTGGTCATCACAGTTCAGCTTCAATCCATTCCGTACACAGGCATCTTCCTTTCGAGGTCTGAATCCACAGCAATTGATGTCCAAGCGATTATAAATCTGCACGTGGAAAACAAAAGTAAAATCCAAGACACTAAGTGAGAATAAAACTTGAGAAAGTTAGATTTCCAAAGAGTTAATGCTTTCTCAACAGCTGACTTGCCAAAATCCTTTAATTAAAGGCAACTGTTAGAATGATTCTAAGGTTCCTAGCCTTTTTACTCACCCGAGGTTCTAAGCATTTCCAGCTTCTTCTAACAGCTCCACAGTCAGACCATCCAAGCATCTCCACCCTCAATATTCAAAGTTCCCACTGACATCACATGCAGACACATGGTCAGCAGAATCCCTGACTCCATTCAGGAAAAGAAAAGACACTCTCACACTTTTCCATGTCCAGTAGGGTCTATCTTCTTTTCTGTCTTCAGTTGGTTTGTACGAAACCTCTTTTGGCTATAAAAGTTTACTGCATTGGATATCAGTATTACAGTAGCTAACCTGAAACGGAAAAGGAATCTACTGCAAAGACGTAAGCAATCACGACACCTAGAAACGGGACCTGCATAGAGGCTACAGCTAGATACAAGTCAGCAATAAGAAGCAAGACTCTGGAGCCTTTTGGAGAGTATTATCAGGGAATAGGGCTGCCAACCTATAGAAGAGGATAATCGATTAACTGGAAAAGTGTGCAATTTCATTTCTCTTGGGAAAGGATGCTTGGGTCAGGGCTGGAAGGACACAGACATTTTCATTAATATTCTTTCCTGCTATGCAGTATAAATAACATCATCCCCACTGCACAGGAATTGAGTGGAATGATATAAATCAGTACAAGCTTATAGATGACTAGTTTGAGAGCAAAGATTTGACTTCAAACTGACCTAATTACTGAGCTGGCCTTTATTTTATCCTGATTAATAAATATTATTTCTCTCCTTGCTATAGTTTGGATATAAGTGTCTCCCAAAAGCCCATGTGTCAAAAGCTTAGTCTCCCATCTACAGTGCCATTGGGAGGTGGTGGAACTGTCAGGGGGAGGGGCCCGGGGGGAGGAGGTTAGGTCATGGCGGGGGCGGGGCTTGAAGGGGCCCAGTGGGAGGAGGTTTGGTCACTGGAGTGGGGCTTGAAGGGGAGATTACAGCTTGGCCCCTTTCTCCTCTCTTTTGCTTCTCCTCTCTGTGAGGTGAGCAGCTTCCTCTGCCACGCAGTCTCACCATGTTGTGCTGCCTCACCATAGGCTTAAAGCAATGAGGACAACTGATTATGAGTTAAAACCTCCAAAACGGTGAGCCAAAGTAAATCCTTTCCATGATGAGATTATTATAGACAGCTGAGTTAGGGAGGAATATCACAGGCAGTCAGATAGGGCTAGGCCCTCAAGAGAGTCCAGGCAAAGGTGAAAACACATTGCAATTGTGGCTGGAGATGCATCTGGCCTCTATCTGAGATAAATGATAACATCTGGCCTAATGAAGTTTACACAGACATCAGTCACCTCAGGGGATGACCAAGACCCTTGGACTCATCCCTTCCTGAAAAGTTCTTTGCTCTTTCCATGTACATTTGGTGTGTGACTTGCTTCCCCAATGGATCAATGTTACCTAAGTGACTATACTTATAATTTTATTGGTGGGTCATAGCTGTAAACCATGTTGTACCCATGTGGTTGTGCTCTATAAAACTTTCCCTGAGAAGTGGGGTTTCAGTAACCCACTTTCAGGCCCCACAATAAATACTTTCTACTCTTAACCTCCATTGTTCCTAGAATTCACTCCTTGATTTTAGAGTATATGAACTAGGCATATCAGACATCTAATAGATTGGGAGTTACAATAATCCCCTTATATCATATTTGGAGCTCCTGATATCATTTGCTATATCAAGATGATTGTCTCAGGTATTTGTCACAGAGAAGATCACACATAATATTCAAAGTACAACAGTTACTGCTATTGCGGAGATGCGTAAGCACACCTTACGAAGTGCAAAACAAGCCTCCAAGATAAAGGAAAATGTGTCCATTTTATAGGGAAAAAAAACCTTAGTCTCAGAATGGGTGAATGAACTACCCTGGGTAGAGTACTAGTGAACAGCCAAGTAAGGATACAGATATAGATCTGTTTCTTCCAAAATTTTACAGGTTTACTCAAGCAGATTATGCTGCATAATTGAGGCTAGAGGAAGGTCGTATATATGCTTAAAATTCAGCAGATGACTAAATGAACACCACTACTTTTATTGTTTTGGCATTCAGTTCCCAGGAGTGATTCCTGTGTTTTTGCAGTCCCTAGTTACTCTAGACCAGTTGCTCAAAAAGAAATGCGGCAAAGCAATAATAAAATGATCATTCATTCATTCATTTCACAAACTTTAACTGAACATCATCTACATCTTCTCAGTGGGTTGGCCCCAAAGCAAATGGTCCCTGGGGCCAGTGCCAATCCATTGGCACTACTTCCACAGAGAAATGAACTGGACATTTAATTTTGCCTTGTTACCACAGCACACCTAAATAACACAGCAAAGGATCTTTCTCTTATGTGCATGTATAAACTTTCTATCAAATAACATGCTTTAAGAGCAGAGATTGTGAGCAAAGTTAGCTGATGGCAATTTTCTATGGAGAGTATATGAAGCTGGTCAGATAGGGCAGGGTTGGTTTGAGCAACCAAGTACACACAAAGATTCCCTGCTACACAGCTGGTGTAGAAACAATAAGAATTGTCAGGATGGGTTTCAGACAGCTCATCTATGTGGCCCGAAGTCTAACCATGGTTTACCCAAAAGATCACAGTCCCTGCTCTCAAAGCATGCTATTAATATACGGTTCATTCACATACAGACAACAGAGACAACGTTTATTTTCCCAGTTCTTGATGTTTGCTGAGGTAGCACAGCAAAATTTAATGCCTACCCCAGGGAACAGTAAGCTGCCACTTCTGATTAAAGTGTGTTTGTTTGACATGAGCGGAGGAAGGCTTCCCACTGCTGAGAAAGAGGGTAGCATGCAGAACTCTATAGTTTGGAAGGGTATCTGGAATAAAGCAACCATGAATTAAAATCTATTAGAAAAATTTACTGACCCCTTTCTTCCTAAACAATTTTATTTTATGTAGCAGCTTCATGGCCTTTGAATATGAGAGAAAGTTAATGATATAACAGAGGTAGCATCTAATTGCTCATTATTTAGGTTAAGGTCAGAGAGAACATGAAAAATAACTTTTCTACAAGTTGCTTTCTACCTAATACCCCCTATTTTTCTAGACATCAGCTAGTAATCCTCAAATAATCTCTCTCTTTTGCATCACAATAAGTTTATGTGCAATTTATTTATATCTATATATGAGAGAAAAAACTAAATCTTTTTAATTTTCATGACACCATCAACACTTATACTGGGGATATGTGTTTAGAATCTAACTTATAAGGACAAATCTGGACCCTATGCTCCACTGTGCCTCCACAGTGGTGTGGAAAGGTCCAACACACAGCTACATTTGTATTATTTGTACAACAAAGCTGTGCTCGTCAACTTTCTGTCATTAAAACAAATATCTGGGATGATCAACCCATAAAAGACGATGCTTATTTTGGCTCACAGCTTGAGAGGTTTCAGTCCCTGATCAAATGGGCTTGTCACTTTGGGCCTGTGGCAGCACATCATGGAGAGAGCATGTGGTGGAGCAACACACTCTCTTCATGGGCAGGAAGTAACAAAGAGGAAGAGGAAGGAGTAGGAGTCCCAGCATTCCCTTTAGGCTATGCCCCAATGACCTCACTTCTTCCCACTAGATCCTACCTTTTCACAGTTCTACTACCTCCCAGTAGTAACCCCAACTGCAGATCACACCTCTGGGAGATAATACAGATCCAGACTATAGAAAAAGCTATAAATATTAAATATATCACTGTTAAATAATAAGCTCTTCAGTGTTTAGCGTCCAACTTTCAGTACTTCTATAAATAGTGTATTTTTCTATTTTTGAACTACCTGAAAACATTAAAAGTTAGAAGTGGAAAAGGATGATATACATTATCTTTTTATTGCCTTACCAATATTAGACTGTTTCCCACAGTGTATTTTAAAAGTGCTTTGTCTGGTCTAATTTTGAATCACTCAACAGTCTGTGATGATTTTAATGTTTCCCTTAGAGAATGGCATGCCACTTGAGTTTAACAGACACTGTTATGGAAAATGGGCACCTGCGCTCAGCTTAATTTCTCTTCTAGAAAATGTTGCCACTCATTTTACTCAGACCCACGCATGTCCTCGGCATATCATCAGGTGTAGAGGTGTGTGTGTGTGTGCATGAGTGTGCATGTGTGTACACCTGGAGAGGAAGCATCACACTGTAAGGCCCTAAATAATCTATTTTCTTTGTTTTCCTTATCCTCCAGCTATAGTAAATTATATATTTTGTTCTTTCCCTTATCTAACAAGAGCTTATGTACCTCTTAGATCATGCTATCTAATTCTTTGAAATTTTGTTTATAATCTTCCTTCTGAATTCTCATTAAAAGACCAAAAATAATTTGACCACAAAACCATAATCCACTCCCTTAAATTCAGTGCCATTTTGCTTGGCAGTTGATTTAGTTATTATATATTGAACATGTTTCCGCTTGCTTTTAAGATAGCTTGCCTATTTTTTAAAAACCTAATAAAGTATCTTCTCATAGCTATAAATCCATAATGTGATTTTAATGTATTGAGTGCACATAAATTATTGAATTATTGCATGATTAACCACTGTAGTCCACATCTACATGTCTATGTTCTTAGATAATTATCCTACTGCAAAGTCTGTTTGGGGATAAATGTTGTATTTAAACACTGGGAATGTTAATCACCGTTGGTGCTACTTGTTTAAATTTGTGACTTTTCATTCCTTAAAACGACAAATTTTTTGCAAAACTGATCTTCTGCATCTAAAGAGGACACCATTTTCCATGAAGATACTCTTTCTACTTTTAGGAAAATATATCTTTTCAATGTTTACCTAACTAAAATTATATGCAGAAAATACAGGTGTTCTAGCCAAAATTTTACTTGTTGTTTT